TATATATATATTTTTTTTTCATGCAAGACACATAGTCGTCGTCGTGTATAATACAATCGATGAACCGTGTACTGGTACCGCGTATTAAAATCGCTTTAAGTCTCCTTCACGTACCTGATACCTAGACCGTATAATATATCTCTGCTATTACAAAAAAAATTTATAAATCGATTTGATGGAACGTGAGAGAGTTAAACAAGTTATTCGCAGACTCTCGACAGATCGATGAGACTGCGAGGGAAACTAAAACGAAGTGAAGCGAGGAAAATGAAAATGTCGAGTAAGCAACTGCTCGTTTTTGGTAAAGGATGTAACGGGGGCATATATCGGGGTCTCTGTGCTATACCTCCTGTGTCCCGGAAGGCAAGCATGTAGGGCAGAAAGACGATACGCGTGAAAATTCTTGCGTGACAGAGAGCAAGAAAGAGATAAAGGCAGAAAGGAGGGAAAATGGTGAGGTGGGAGAGAGAGAGAGAGAGAAAGAGGATATATGGCAGCGTGACGACTTCACAGAAAGCGAAAAGCCACACAATATCGATACTCTAGTCTCTATTTCGCCTAACGGGGACACTCGCGCGTGTGCGCGTGTCTGTTCTTGACACGCTTCAGCAACAAGGTGCGTTCAACATGTGCTCTTGTGCGGTCGTCAAAGTTCTTGAGAGTCGAACGAAAGCACGACGAAAGCGATGGGATTCAAAGGCGATGAGTATCGGATCGTCAAGCGTCGTCGACCGAATCGAAATGCGATTTCTTTGAAGTTGGAGATAAAAGGAAATCCAGTAATCAACGGGAAGTAAGATTACGGATGGAGCGATTCGGTGCGACAATGGTTCAAAAACCGCGTTTTAAAAACTCGAGAAGCATAAAATGTCATTTTCTCAATCTCGCAAGATTAATTATCTGAAATCCTTAAAAAAAAAGAGTATATCACCATTGCGCAAAACTCTTCGATTAAAGTTATAATTGAAAGCAAAAATACGTATATACAAACAGCTTCTAACTGCGTTGCGAGGATCAACGGAGCACGTTAAGCCCTGATGTTTTCCTACAAAGAAAAGCTTCAATATTCTCAGAGGGAAAAAAAAAGAAACAGCGAAGACTCGATCCGATTACCATCTTTGAATCTGGCATACTCTTCGTGACTCTCGGCAGTCCCGTGGGACGATTCACCACGAAAGCAGCAGAAAAGACTGGAATCTCGCTCTCTCCTCGCCTCGAGAATTCGTCATTACTCGCTCTGGCGGCTCTTAATTTCGCGCTGTCTGCAATCTCGCGAAATCGGCATGTAAAGCGCGCTGCTGCCTCTGCTCTCAGTGCGCAACATTGTGCGCTGTACTTTTTGCCGCCCGAGGAACTACGAGCGGTTTCGCGACGACGAAGAGGGCGGGCGAAAGAAGGAGAGGAGAGGAGAGAAAAGGAATGGAGCGTCGGAAATAGAGAGGCAGAGAAAGACGGGAGGAGAGAAGGGTGAAGAGAAAGAGAGAGAGAGAGAGGGGGGGGGGGACGGAGGGAGCGTCCTTCGAAAAAAGCCTGATGGAGTCCTTGGGATCTGGCATGGCGGTGCGCGCGCGAGAGAAGCGGATGCACGGTGATAAATGACAGATCCGATGGGGTTCGACCGTAATCGGCGATTAATCGATACTCGGCGATCCTCGGTGAAATATACACGCGACCGCAATTTCCAGCGGGAACAAATCGCCCCGGGTGGCGCAGGTACGAATTATATTATACTATACGCTCTCCCGGGAAAGAGAGTGAGAGAGATTGCGGACGAATTTCTCAACGAAATGCGACCGGCACCACGTACGCGCGGAACGTAAGAGGGTAAGAGAGAGGCCAACACCGTTCCGCTTCTCATCGCTTCTGTCCTTTTCCGCGCGCCGTCCGTCCCTCACGCGCACCAACTCGCGCTAAATCGGGGCTACGAATTATATTACCGGTGCTTTCGATCGCGGGGGAATTTCTCAACGAAATACGTGTAATTATCGTGCGAAGGACTCGGCGCAAGTAAGTAAGTAAGCGAGCGAGCGAGCGCACTCTCCCGCGCACGTCCGATGGAGACGGCAAAACGAGAATCCGCCACGGGCTTCATAAATTTCCGACGTAAGGATCGTCCGGCCAGAAATAACACGCGGGAGAAGTACGCGCGCGGGATTTATTGCCGCGAAAGAGAATAATGCGTTCCGTTTTCAATTTCTCCCCTTCATCTTCCACCGCGCAACCTGCCTGTCCGTCCGTCCGTCCGTCCGTCTGTCTCGCGCTATCGAGCAGCCGGGAGATAAATTTTAGTCCGCGAGTGAATCGTTCGATCGTCGTTAAGAGCATCGATATAACTCCAGCTCCGCAGGCTGTTTTCAAGGTTTCCCCCGGGATATCCAGGAATATACACGAGAACTCCTCCTCCAGCCTGTGTCGAAACGTCGTTCATACCTTGGGCAAGGACGCCAGGCATTGCTGCTTCACGTCCCAGACCAGCTGATCCTTCGGGAACTGCAGACACTTGCTGACGTAGAGCTCGGGCACATGGATCCGAGCGAGGAGCACGCCCTCGCTGACGGGGGTGTTCTCCGCCGCCGCGAGCGCGTCCTCCGCATTCTGCTGACCCTGACCCTGCGTCGGGCCACCTTGAGGACCGATGGTCGCCTGGCTCTGAGACTGGCTACTCGCACTGCCGGGCGAGCTCTCTTGCTGTTGTTGCTGCTGAGGCGATTGCTGCTGCTGCTGCTGGGCCTGTTGCTGTTGCGGCGACTGCTGCTGCTGCTGCTTTGGTCCCGCCTCCATTGCGAGGACCTCGCGGTTCCTCAGGATCCTACCTTCAGTAGCTCACATCTACAACAGCGAAAAGAGTCACCCAATTCGTCATTAATAATATTCCCAGCGGGAAAAAAAAGTAAGCAGACTGTTACAAAGTTATATAACCAACTCGCAAAAGTGTACGCCTTCTTTTTTACGCTCCCGTCGCAAATCTTGTCGAAGTAGATGCGTTACAAAGTTATATAATCAATTCGTAAAACTTTACGGACAAACTTTATCATTTCATCTTGTATAATTTTTTTTACACACGACATAAATCAAAGCTCCCCTTTCGCGGCGTTTAAGTTTTTGCTCCGCCAAAGCGCGGGCGACGGCCCAAGTTTTTGTTCCTTCGCTTCCCTTTCGAATGATTAAATTCTTCAAAATGATCTCTGCGAGATACACGTGTTTTTAAGCGACGCAATCACGTCGCGATGATGGGAAGAAAATAATCGGGAGCGTCTGGCAAAACGTGGACTGTTAACGAGCGTGTAAGTGCCATAAATGCTATGCACGCGAGAAACACGATGGAGGATGACAACGGATGGCGAGAAACGACGGGGAGACGACGGGGGCGCGAGAGGGCGGACCGTATGCGAGGCGAGCGAAGGCGTTTCGGCCGCGGAGAAGACGAAGAAGAAATTAAAACGGCGAACAAGATTCGCTTGTTTATGACCACGGCGAGGTATAACGGTAAAGGGAGGACGGGATTACCGCAATGGAAATAAAGAAACGGCGCCGGGACGCTGTACCGCGGAGATTTTTAACGCTCGTAAAAGGTTTTATGCCCCACGATGCGCGCAACGTGCACGCGGCTTTTCCTTCTTCTTCTCTCTCTCTCGCTCCCTTCCTCCGTTACCAATGCCTTTTTATTTTCGGCGCACGTCGGCCCCGCGACGCGTAATCAGAGATCCAAATCGGAGCGGAGCTACCACGGCAGGACTCGAAAGAGCCCCGGTTACCACAACGCCGCCGTCCCAACAATCATAAGAGCGCGCACCTCTCTTGGGTGAGACGACCGTAATTTATATAACGCCAGGAATGGCTTTTCTTCCATACCGGGGGCCGTCGGGAAAAGAATGACCGATCCATTCGAGGCGCGAGACTCATCGTTTTGAATTGATTATGCAAATTAACCGCGCGCTCACCTTCGCGTCGCGACTCGACGTACGTGCGCAGGGCCGGGCCGGGCCCCCGTACGCGAGGCGATTCTCTCCCTCTCTCTCTCTCTCTCGGCGCCTTTACGCCGAGGATAATAAAAATATACGCCGAGAGAATTAATCTTGTCTTTAAAGTCCGTAAAGTTAACGTATGCGCATATCAATTATACGCTGAAATTTGAATGAAAAAGAAATGCGTGCGACCATTTGTTACGAAAGCAACGTCGACGATTTCACGCAGCAGGCAGTTTAGTCCCGGGCTTGAGAGCTTGAAAACGTTGAACAATAAAGTTATAAAACGTAAGCGATATAAGTCTACTGTTCTTTGAGAACCCCTACCCTACGCGCGGGCTTCTTAAAGCGCCTTGATCCGGCCATGGATATATGTAGTTATGAAGCAACATTGCAGGGGAAACTTTTTCCACCTTCCAGGCATCCCGCGATTCCCGCTACGTATTTTCAAGCCGCGTTTACTATCATGACAAGCGTTTATATTAATTAATTAACTTCTGACTTTGTATTTATCTCATTGCACCGTTCGCCGCATTGGCCGCTTTCGCAGAAGGCCGTAGAAACCGAGAGCCCAGCGGAATCTGACCGTCTACTGATTCGCAAACCCGACTGAAACGATCTTTGATAATCTCGGGATATCCTTCGAGTCATCGTTCGGCACTCGCGGGGAACATTTCTACGAACGAGCCTCTGATAAATGGACTTCTGTCCTTCCTCATCACCGCGATGAACCATGCGCCCGGCATACGTGTCGTCGCCAAGTGGACGAGCGGGCCGAACGTGCTCGTCTTTATCTCGCGCATTTACGCGCGCAGCCGCCGCCACCGTCGCCGATTCGCGCGCGCGATAACGCGCTTCGCCCTTTTATAATTCCGCCTCCAACCTGTCGGATTAATCACCTACGGCCGACGATAACTGACGTCTTAACAAGCGGCGCGCGCGTGATCGCTTTCACTCCAAACTTTTCAACGAGAGTCACTGCCGCCGCCGCCGCTCGGCAGACTTTTATTTCGTAATTCGCGTTTGCGTTGTCCCGCACAGAGCTTTTGCGCCGCGAGCCGTGTAATCCCGCGATTAAGGCGCAGTACTTGCGTCATCTTCGGTAATGGAGTAACATGGAAACTTTATGATGCACCGGCGTACACAGGGTGCTCGCGAAATCGCCCCATTTCTCCTTCTCCTCGCAAATTTTCAAGTTTGCTTTGTGACAAAACTTTAATTGCCATTTTCGTTTAATAGCAACGCTAAAGTTGATATTACAGCTAGAAAGAAAATGAAAAGAAGCCTTCATTCTTTATTCCACTTGTATAATAACTTTGATGTATTTATCTCTCGAAAAAAGTCTCGCACTTTCTTTAAATTGCGCTCGTAAAACTCATTCGGTATCGCTTCTCGTTTTGCGTATACAAACATTATTTTCATGCGCTGCAAAAGACACACGTAAACGCTAATGGCGCAAGAAAATTATTTCAGAGATTCTTCGGGGAGATGATGGGGATTGTTTTAAAAGTGTTTCTTTTGTGAGAATGATATATGAGAAAGAAAGAAAATCAGGGTAAAGAAGGATCCTACAAAACGAATGAGAAACGATGGAATCCTGGGGATATAAGTGTGAGATGTCAGGTGCTATGAGAAGTTTGATGGGAAACCGCAGACGCCATTAAACGTAACCCTCTTGTCGGGGGAGTGCGGAATGCGTTAAAACTTTAAATAACCTACTGACCATCCTGTACACATAATGTATATATAACTTATGTTTCCAGGAGAAATACATGAAGAAATACAAAGAACCGCGCGGGGTCTGCGAGATCGCGTCTGCCGCGGCGAGCTAGCGCAAAATTACTATCAAGTCATAAATTCATCCGAGACGTCGAGATTTCTGCATGACAAGCCTCTTTGGCTCTTGATAAAAATTTACAAATCTACAGGTAGCGTAAAGATGCACCTTTTATTGTTTAGCTCAAAGTACCTTGTGTTACAACACACAAACGTTTCTATAATCCTCTTCAATTAAAGAGTTAAAAATCGGCAGCTGTGATGGTGCGAGCGAGACTCTTGAGATAATAAGCAATGTGTAATTATCCAGTGATACCAGACACGTGTGACGTGACACGTGGGAAGATACAATTTTCGCTTTCGCCGAGTCGCCCGTCGCCGCGCACATATCGCACGCGATATTTCACAGTGGATTATAATAGTTGCGATGATAACGACACGCTACTTTTTCTAAGCGACGAATCGATCATCGCCGGCCCGATGAGGCTATCCGGCGAAACCGGTAGAGACGAGGAGGACGAGGCAGAAGAAGAAGAAGAAGTAGAAGAAGAACAAGAAGGGAGGCTATAAGAAAGATAATAAGAGGGAACGAAGAGAGACGATGATGAACCGGGGGAGGAAGGGAGCGAGGGGGGGAGGGAGGGCTCATGGGTGCGTATAGACGAACGCACGATGGATAGACGGGCCCACGGGTGGACTGACCGACGGACGGGCGGACAGCAAACGCATCAATGACAAGACGTAAATCATAGTTTTATGACCCGTCTTTATGTGGCCCTTATTCGTGGCACTCATCGGTAGAAGAGAGCCTTTCGGATTTTTCTGTCTGGCTTATACTCGCGCGTCCAGGACCGCATCGGCTCGCATCGACTGTGCGCGAGGGCTTCGGGGGGAGGGGAGAAACAATTTTCATTAATTTATTCCCCGCGATAAAATAGCGTCGCGATTAGCGAATTACGGTATCTTCGATGCTTCCTCGAGAACGATGAGATGCATATGTGTTTTGCAGATTAAATTAAGGACGCTCGATTTAACTCATTAAAGTGGCACACCTCAATGTTTTTGTAAACGCGTCGTCTCTTGCACGCGATAAGTCGAGAAACCGCGAAGGCGGATGATTTGGATTCGCGGAATTTAATTTCCTCTCTTATCTTGGCACACTTAGATCCCGAGAGATTCTGAGGATTTGGACATATTTTTCACATATCCCCCTGCTATCGTAACGCGTAAGTGGCACGGGTAAAGCGTCACTGAAGAATTTCGGCGGGATTCAGAAGCGCAAAAGTACAGCCTCGATCCGCTTTTCGATTCCGTTGTTCGATTCCGCTCTTTCGATCCGCCCCTGAACGCACGTAAGTGCGTATATAACAGGTACCCGCTGCGTAGGCGTCGGTTTACGGGTTTGCTTTTAAGTGACCGTACCTTAATTCGCGCTGCGGTTAACAGTGTGTCGTGCTTAACGGTGATCCCGCGAGGGAGGGCGGGAGAGGGAGAGCGAGGGAGAGCCCGGGAGAAAAAGAGGTAGGTAGAAGTGGCAATTAAAAAAATGCGGTAACTGCACCGGTGGAAATGCAACCTGGCGACAAAAAAGAGGGAAGGTGGGTACACGAAGGCAACGAAGGACAGCGCGGGGTTAAGGTACGGCCCTGACATTCTGGATCTCGCGGACGTGGGTGTGCGCGCCGCGCAACTTTGTTGCCGCACTTTTTCGAGAGCATCCTCTGCTCTCTCCGCGCCGCACCGCGCCGCTCCGCTCCGGGCCGCTCCAGGTCCGCGGGACCCGCAGCGCGCGCGGCCGCATTATGCGCTCGCGCGCGCATAAAGGGAACGGCGTGCGCGAAGGCCTTGGCGGAGAGGTGGTGTACGACGAGGATTATTTTTCAACGACCCAACGCTACGACGCCGCGAAAAGTGAATCGCACCAAATAGTACAATTCAACGAGGACGCGCGCCCGCGCGCGTCTTTACGGCGTCCCCTTATCGCGCGGCCGCGACACGCGGCGAGGCACGGCCCCCGGTAATCTCGCCTGATTAATCCCAATTTTAATCTCGCCCCGCGGCGGTGAACCGTCGCGCGTCGCGTCGCGTCGCGCCGAGCTGCATAGCGGACGCGTGAAATATGCCAGCGAAATTAATATCTTCCCGATCCCCGAGTATGCGAATGAATTCCGTCATGCGAAATAGCGACGCCAAGTGCGACGCGCGATGTGCATGCCTTCGCAGTGTCGACGATACTCGGAAGGATACCCTTCCAACGTAAAATACTAACGTTTGATTCACGGTGCGTTATGCGATAACGATGTCCAAGTTCAATCATCTCGTTTTATTTCTCCCAATCTTACGGCGTCCCATTACACGTTTATCGCGACGTTGACAACCTAGGCGTGGATCGTTCAAGCGGCGTCCAATTTTTATTCCGCGAACCTTCGATACTGCTTTTTGTCCCAACACGCCTCATTGTCGCTTGCGACGCCGGCATTCCTCGTGCAATTTCAGCGACATGCTCTGAAAATTACCGAGCGCGAATTAGATAGACGATACAGAGACTCGAGTCTCAGCTCCTTTTTAGAGTGACAGATTTAACTACGCGTGGTCTAACGCTGAGCTTCGTTTATCCACTGTGAAAATCGCATTTAATATCAATGTAACGAGACGAGAAACACACTTGGCATTAAATATCCCCTAAGGAAGGATGAAAGGGACAGCGAGAACATTTCGATCTTAATGCTACTACGCCGATTCTTGAGATGACACTCTAGCTTTTTTTCTATCTACAAATTACTTTTTAATATATCTGATTCTCGCTTTGCGTGTCTTGCTACTTACGGTTACCTTTATGTAACATGTACGTTATTATCCGTAATGAGTCACGATAAATTTTGTGAATGCCGGGACTGCCAGATGCATTAGACCTATATACAATACGGACATATCACAGATGTCCCCTATCTCTTGCGATCAACTACGACATTGCGGATATTGTCTCTCTATAAGGACTTTCCTGTCGCCGACCGTCCCTTTTGTCGCGGCAGTAAAAGATGTTTCCTGCGCACAATAATTCGCCAAGTTAGGTGCGGCATGAGCAGTTTCGCGACACCCACCGCTTCTCCAGCGATTTTCTCGTTATCGATGTGCCGCAGAAATTTATAAGATCGTATACGTCCCGCAACGTAAATAATATTCCACGAAATAGAACGCGCTTTTCTCGCATCGATTAATTCTCGACACTCAAGTGTCACGTTGTTATCAGTCAAGAAAACCAAAGACTGAGAAATGACAATTCCTCCACGGATAAAAGTATACGATTAAAATGATTTTGTCAAAATGCGATTCCAAGCTTTAATATTTTAGTAATTTATCGAGTGTATGGAAATAAGCCACGAGCCGCTACGATAAAACGTCACTTTGTGCAACAACAGGCGCGCATGAGAATAAGATCCACGCGTGAAACTTTCAGATTGAAAAAGTTTTCTCGCCAAGTTCGACTGTTACAGCTCATATACTTGCGGAGAACTTCAATAATCGAGTGTAAGGATATCTTCACAAAGCCTGCGGAGGCGGTAATATAAAGATAATACAATGATATTAAATAAATTTCTTGGACACGATGGACCTGCGGGCGCATAACAAATCACGTTGCGTTTACGGGTAATAGAAATGCGGAAGAGAGAAGAATGTTGTGCGGCGAGAAGAGAATCAATGTCGAAACTGAGGAACAGAGAGAAGGCCGATTCCTTCTTTTCTCTTTTTCGTTGTCTTAGCTGAAAAACACCCGGTCTCGCGGGGATTTCGTCTGTACAAATAGCCCTTTTCGTCTCGTATACACAGCCCAGGACAGCAAGTTTCGCCGCTGCGATTTATTCACGTCGCCACGTCGAAAAATCGCCGAGATTTGGCAGAGATTACATAAGTAATTCTTCCGCCTGTGATTTATACCTGCTCGTTTCTCTGTCGCGATAGTGACTGATGACATTGAAATTTTACATGTAAATATCATTAAAGCTTTTTCGTCGAAAGAAACTTTACCGAAATAATTTACTTTAGACACACATATATAATTAAATTTTTCAACATAAAACGTTGAAAATAAAAATAACTAAAAAGTGTTGACATATCCTTTTCAAGACATGTAAATCGATTAACTTGTGGCTCGGAAGTTATCTAAAATAGCGCGCCCTTATTTCACTTCAAGACTCGACCGGATGCCTTTCTGCAAAGTTGACTAATTGCTAAAAATGTCGAAGGCCGTCGCTTGTTATCAGCGACTCGAAGGTGACGGGTGCATTAGAGAAAAACATGAGGGTGTGGGTGGATCGCGACAGAAATAGCGAGAAACAACTGCATCATTTATTGGGCGGTCGAAAGGTTAAGAGGGCGGTGTGTCGAGCTTAAAAGGCTGCATAAATTAAATCTAAAAACGTGACAGTCGATATAGATACCAGTGTTATTTCGCCCCGATTCTTCTATTAGCCGAGAAAGAAGTCCTATACGCGTTAATCCTGCACGTTGTTATTGTTTCATGACTTTATTGCCGAGCGCTTCGAATATTTCCTTGATAATGCCGACAGCTCGAATAGCGATTTATATCTGAAAAGTATCATTATCAAGTATCAAGTATGATCAAGTATCATTATCAAGATAATAATCATTATTTCCTCCCTGGCTTCTACTGTCGTAAAACATAATGATAAGGTCGTTTAAGCCTCGCTATAGCGCGTTCATTGTTAGACATTTTCTATATTAAATAAGATAACGATAATAAAGGTACGATTAACTGTGCGAATATGTGGCAAAATTGTGATTCGTAACAAAAACTCGTCAATGTTTTATATACTAATTTGTTGTAGTTTGTTGTGCTCAACGAAATAAAAAAACTTTTGTTCAATTTCGCAAAATGCATTATTTATAATAAATGTATATTGACCGAATCGGACGAAAATTGAAATTTTCTGTTCCACAAAAAGCTTACATACGTATTACGTATGAATAAATGATATGCACATTTCGAATAATACCCATAAAGATGGCAATTTCTTTATCTCTTGAAAATCTTTTAGCATTCGAAGCAAGGCTCTTGGAATAGCATTCAATCGGAGATCCAATTGAGATACTTGAGACTCCCGGGATTGGGAGTCTGACAATTAATTAGACGTCGTTCGGGATTCTTTGAGAAGCACGTGTCGATACCGATATGCCTGGCGACTTACCCCTGGTTCAACGGCCGTCGCAGCCACGAGCGTGAGAAAACGAACGGGCGACTCTCCGCGGTGCCGGGGTTATCGCGCGATATCGCCACCGGCAGCCATTGTCAAAAAACAAGCCCGGAATGTACGAAGCATCCACCACCATATTGCACCGACCGCACCGTATCGTTGCACCGCACCGCGTTGCGAAACGCGCTTCGGGGTGGCCGTGCCTCAGCAATATGGCGACGGCGCGACCCCCAATATCGTCCGTCGCGTATTCCCAGATAGAGATGACCCGCGAGCGACGTCGCCGGGACGAGATCCTTGGCAGGGAAGATGGTTCTCGCCGGGACTCACTACCACCCTTCTACTGCCGAACGCGCCATCGGGATAGGACAATGCTCGACGAAAGCGAAACGTACGACGACCGGCGGCACCTCCGAGTATGGGACCGAGCGTCGCGGGGTGCATCTCGCGACTACGGCGGGGTTCGAGGGGGCACCCCCGAGAGGGTGAAGCATCCCGCGGCGTAGATGGCGCCATGGCGCCGGTTTTCAGGAATTACGCTCCAGGGTTAGGCGCGAGGGGTGAGAGAGCCCTGGTGGTGGATGTTGGTCGCCTGGCAACGACGAGAGATCGACCGAGTGCTCTTTCCGCCCCTCTCTTTCTCCCCGCCTTAGCGGCCACCGAGAGAGTTGGACACCACCCTCGCTCGTTGTTGTTTCCGCCGCTCGTGCCGGTGCCGGTACGGTGGTGGTGATCGTGCGGACGTGTGCGAAAGCAACTACGTATCGAGAGTCGCGAATGGGCAAACGATTAGTCGCGATCGAGGGTGGAAGGTCAAGTGGAGAGCGGGCGCCTTGAAGGACATGCCAATGGTATATAAATACATCTCGCGTCTGGGGTGCATCCTTAAAGATAGAAGTAACGAAATCGGGACATCGAGTACCACGATTAATAGATAAAAGGAAAGAATGTACATCACGTACAAGTTTGCTGTACTAAAGATGAATCTACGGTTACACGATAGAGAAACAAAGGAACAATTTGACGGTAAATTAAATTCCACTACATCGGTGCATTGCCAATGAAAACAGTTATAAGTACAGCATTGAATAATTCAGCGCAATATTTATAACTGTGAATCGGTGAATATTCACTGTTTTCAGTGATGATCCACTTGATTGACTTTTAGAGAGTCGGTTCTTTTTTTCAGTACGCAACTGTGTTGCACTCCATATTCGACGTATCAATTGTCCGCCGAAATTACTACAGATTCCATCGTAAAGAGAGATGTATTGCAATGCATACTTTTGCACATTTTAACATTTTGTTTATAATAACGTAAGGGAAAATAAACAAGCGGTGTAGAGAGGTAAATACCGATACGGCACGATATTCTTAATACGGTATTCTATCGACTATCTTGTGAAGTACGAGGGGGCTCGATCGTTCGCTGTTTGTCCGTTCGTCCATTCTCGCCGGCAAACATACCGAAAATGGCGTGCGGTATTTCACATTGTTGTTTTAAGACAGCTCGATCGATACCTTCATCGCGATATCGGTGCACACCCACATTGTTGCGTATCGTCTCCTTTATAAATAAACGATTTATCGAAGTCTCGAGGAAAACTTTCGCCACGCTTTGACTCGCAGACATTTTATAACGTAACGAACCTCATTAGGAACAGTAATAGCGCCTTTTCTGGTCACAACTCCATTTTCTGCGAGGTTGCAAGACAGATCGCCGCTATCGTTGCACCGTCTCCTTAAAAGCCCTCGCACATCCTACGGAAGCAGAGAGTAATGAATGGTTCGCAAACGTAAAAAAAAAATGGGGGATCCCGTCGATCGTCGCCCGGTGATTTATCGTGACTTGATCGCGCCGTCAAAGAGCCGTGATAACGCTTCATCCGATAAGGCAAGAAGGGATGAGTGTCCCACTGCCGTTTTCTTCGCGATTACGGACAGCGCAAGAACATGATTCACGCGTGACTTGTCCATTATTGGACGATCGCGAGATTATTGTTATCTGATAATCGCATTTGTATACGGCGAAATGTGCTTTCGTCGTTTACGACGAGATATAATCATCGCGAGGACAAATATATCGATTACGTTCTTCAATTATTAGAAGCTTATCAGATTTCCTTTGCGCAACTGAAATCCCAAGGAAACCACGATATAGAAATAATAAGTATAAATCGTAAGAAATTCATTTATCAATTTTCCGCGACGAGACATTTCAGGTAATTGCAGACTGATTTACATAATTTTCGTCGTGCTTGTATACTTCTGCGTTAAGAAACCTTACGTGACTTTTAAGCTTGTTAATGACTAAGCTTTCAAGGAGTTAAACCGGATCTTCTGTGGAAAAACGGCAGGTTTCACGTGACATCACTTCCTCAGCATCGTCGCGCGGATGCAGGCACTCATGCCTGACGACTTTTTCGTCGCGGGGGAAGGGAGCGAAAAACTAACAAGCGCAAGGTTCACTCAGATTAGATCGACTCCAATTTAGTTCACTCGTCGTTTGACCTCCATTCCAGATCGGCCGTCCTCTCTCCGGCTTTTAATTTGCGGAGGATGTGACGTTCCCTCGATGAATCTCGTCGGTCGTCCCTCTCGACGACCGGTGCCGTTAAACCGGAACAATTTAGCATCGAGGACGACAGAACAGCCACCCCCCCCCCCCCTCCATTTTTATCGGCACTCCACATTATAAATTTAATTGTAATTCAATCGGGGGGGATAGGAAGTTTCAGAGTAAAGTGCTTTTTCGGTACGACCCATCGTTGGAATCCCGATTGCATAACTCCAAGGAATTGCGAATGGATATTCGAGATGTTAATTTACGGATTCAATTGCGAAATTAAAAAGCAGAAACAATTTTCTTCGATGAAGGCTCGATTTTTCATTTTCTGAAAAAGAAGGAGAGTCTACTAACCTCCCGAGTAGAAATAAAATCATGCATGCTTTATGTATGATCAGGGCCCGATAGGGAGGAAGTAAAGAATGCCCTAATAAGGAATCCCTGACATGTGCCTGATCCGGTACGCCTGATTCCCTCATAGAATTTGATAAACGTTAACCTGAATAGATAGCACTAGTACCACATACTGCCGCGACGTGGCGACCGCGCGTTAGTCTTTCTCGTATGTAAAAATCATCCCGTATTAGTATAAGAGGCGAGCCGATATGTTGCGACTGCGAGTTGTCTGGATCATGGATAAACTTCAATAACCTGAATATACTTTTGATGACTACGTAATTTAACACAATTTAAAAATTAGTTTAAGAATTTTTGAATAGGAAGCCTACTAATACCCATCCCCCTATTAGAAATTGTAAGGCGCGACAAAGGGCAAGTCATGAGGTCTTGATAAGGAAAACCTGATCAGGTAATTTTAATTCTCGACGTTACATTTACGGTCAAGGCCCTGTCAGGGCTGCCTGATGAGTGCCTGACCAGGCATTAAGGCATCCTTATTAGGCCCCTACCAGGACCCTACTGAAATTTCTGCTCGGGCTCTGGTTAACAGTTATCAGAAAATGACAAACCGGGCCAAACTGTCTTTCAGTAACTTGTTCAATAAGAAAAATATTATTACATACTTATGAGACATTAAAAAATAATAAATACCAATGCAATATGAAATTTACATATGTAATTTTGGAAGTAACGCGCAAGTTGTGCCCTGATTAAGGTGTATGGGAGCACCCCCTGCCCCGCCTGTTCTCTTTCTGAAATGAGGATCCGGGCAGCCACTTTCGTCCGCTAGGAGCGCTAGGGAGCTGCCGACCTAAGCCGCGTCTGCTAGGCCGTACCCTGGCGAAAATGACAAGCTTTATAAAGCGTTGATAACTGTTAAATGAAGGTTTTTTAAAAGTTCAAAT